CTGAGTAGCTAGGTTTACAAGTGTGAGCCACCTCCTATGGTCTCCTACTTTTTTTGGGGGGGGGTTTCGGTCATGGGGCCTGAACTCTGGGCCTGAGCGCTGTCCCTCAGCTCTTCAGCTCAAGGCTAGCACTCTACCACTTGAGCCACAATGCCACTTCTGGCTTTTTTCTTTTTGCTTATGTGGTACTGAGGAATCAAACCCAGGGTCTCAGGCATGCAAGACAAGCGCTCTACCACTGAGCCACCTTCCCAGCCCCTGGTCTCCTACTTTCTCTGGGCTGTCTCCTATTTTCAATCTCCCATCCAGGTGTGCCTCAATGCCTTCTAGATGCTTCCTCCACATCGACCAGGCCTCAGCTTAACCCACCTACCCCAGGAAGTTTTCTCTGATTGTACCTCTCCCACCATTTCCTCCTGTGTTTCTCTCTCTCTGTCCTTCCTCCCTCCTTTTCTCCCTCACTCCCTTGCCAGTTGTGAGTTCGAGGTTGGTTCTCTGCCCTTTTTTTTTTTTTTTTTTGGTCAGTCTTTGTTTCTGTCTTTCTTTCTTTCTTTTTGCCCGTCATGGATCTTGAACTCTGGGCGTGGGCACTGACCCTCAGCTCTTCAGCTCAAGGCGAGTGCTCTACCACTTGAGCCACAGCACCACTTCCGGTTTTCTGGTGATTCATCGGAGATAAGAGTTTCACTGACTTTCATGTCCAGGCTGGCTTTGAACCGCGATCCTCAGATCTCAGCCTCCTGAGTAGCTAGGATTACAGGCGTGACCCATGGGCAGCGCGCCCTGCCTTCTTAGTTGACATTGCAGGGAAGATGGACAACCAGTACACAGGTAAAACTTAAAAGATGACACAGTGAGTATTTAGTGTCAGGGAAATGTAAGAATAAGGCAGCGTGCCCGGGTCCCCCACACATCCTGGGGGAGGGACTGGATTCCCAGACACCCCAGCCACTCCCAGCCACCGATCAGCTGTGGGGACCCCGCGGGGGCTGAGTGGGGAACAGAGCCGAGGGTCCGCTGGGCTTCACTGTGGGGGTCCAGGGCGAGGGGCCGACGC